TTCCTGCCTGGGCTGGCTTTGAACCAGATCCTCAGATCTCAGCCTCCTGAGTAGCTAGGATTACAGACAGGCATGAGCCATTGGCGCTGGGCTGTCTATCACATTTTAAGATTGTTGTTTATTTGTGATTATAACTTATCTCATTCACTAGATTTCTGAAAGATTTGTAGCTACTGCCTCATTACTCTGAGTATCACTTGTCACTAACTAAAAGCTCTTATGAAAAATCAACTCCTGCTGTGTGTGGTGGCTCATCCCCATAATCCCATCCACTCAGGAGGTGGAGGGAGAGGAGCTCAAGTTCAAGGCTAGGGACAAAGATAGGGAGACTTTGTGTCAAAAACAAATAAAAATATAAAAGGATGCTGGGAATGTGGTTTAGTGGTAGAGCCCTCAGTTCAATTCCTCAATACCACATAAACAGAAAAACCCGGAAGTAGCACTGTGGCTCAAGTAGTAGAGTGCTAGCCTTGAGCAAAAGAAGCTCAGGGACAGTACCTAGGCACTGAGTTCAAGCCCCAGAACTAGCAAATAAATAAATAAATAAATAAATGGGGCCCAGTGGCTCACACATGTAATCCTAGCTACTCAGGAGACTGAGATCTGTGTGGGTAAAAGCCACCAGGAAGCAAAGTCTGTGAGACTCTTATATCCAAATAATCACCAAAAAGTATAGTTGTAACTCAAGTGGTAGATTGCTAGCCTTGAACAAAAAAGCTCAGGGACAGTGCCAGGCACCTAAACCAGTATAAAAAAAAGGGAGCCGGGCGACGGTGGCTCACGCCTGTAATCCTAGCTACTCAAGAGGCTGAGTTCTGAGGATCGAGGTTCAAAGCCAGCCCGGGCAGGAAAGTCCGTGAGACTCAATAGAAACCACTAGAAAACCGGAAGTGGTGCATTGGCTTAAGCAGTAGAGCACTTGCCTTGAGCTGAAGAGCACAGGGACAGCGCCAAAGCCCAGAGTGCAAGCCCCATGACTAACACAACAACAACAACAAAAGTGGAAAATGAGGGAGGGGGTAACAAGTTGACAAGAAATGTACTCACTATCTTACTTGTATAACTGTAACCCCTCTGTATATCACCTTGACAATAAAAATAATTTTTTTATTAAAAAAAAGTGGCAGGGAAGCCGGGGGCTGGTGGCTCACACCTGTAATCCTAGCTACTGAGGAGGCTGAAATCTGAAGATGACAGTTCAAAGCCAGCCTGAGCAGGAAAAGCCATGAAACTCTTATCTTCAATAAACCACTCAGAAAACCAGAAGGGGCGCTGTGGCTCAAGTGGTAGAGCTCTAGCCTTGAGCTGAAGAGCTGAGGGACAACTTCAAGCCCCAAGACTGACAAAAAAAAAAAAAAGTGCCAGGGGCATAGCTTCAGTTGTAAAGCATGTGTGAGGTTCTATGTTCAGGGAGAGACAGGGGCTGGGAAGGTGGCTCAGTGGTAGAGCGCTTGCCTTGTATGCCTGAGGCCCTGGGTTCCATTCCTCAGCACCACATAAAGAAAAAAAAAAAAAAAAGGGAGAGACAGTGAGACGAAATCAATTTCCATAGAGAATTTCCAATATGCTCTGCATAACTGCCACATTGTGGTATGGGTATCTAACCTATCTATCAAAAGGAATTACCTTTGAGGCAGGGAGTGTAGCTGAGTGGAAAAGTATTCACAGGTATGACACAAGAATCTGAGTTCAATCAAGCATCATACACACAAACACTCTCTTTCTGACATATCATGTATATGTCCATGGTCCCTTGAAGCCCATTATTTAAACAATTCAGCATTACATACACATATTTTATAGATGTAGTTTTCATATAAGCAAAGATATGTGTTAGTTCTATAAATCAAGTACTTTTATACATCAGTGCTGATACTACGGTTACTTTTAATATTAAGTACAAAGAATACAGTATCACTGCCTCTAATGGTAATTTTTTACAAACTTCTAATTGTTCTAGGCTATAAAAATTTCCCTGCTGATACTGGATTTCTAAGAATGGTATCCAAGCTAAAACTGTCTTTGAGTTCAAGTCACAAGACAAAAAGAAATTTATCTTTTAAGTGTTAAAAATTAACTTATAGAACCAGACACCAGTGGCTCAGGCCTGTAATCCTACTCAGGAGGGTGAGATCTGAGGATCACAGTTCAAAGCCAGCCTGGGCAGGAAAGTCAATAATAAACCCTCAGAAAACTGGAAGTGGCGCTTGGGCTCAAGTAGCAGAGCACTAGCCTTGAACTGAAGAGCTCAGGGACAGTACCCAGGCCCAGAGTTCAAGCTCCACAACCAACAACAACAACACAAAAAATAACTTAAAACCCAACCGGCCCGGAGCCAAGGGTCCTCATGGGAGCCAGCAGGCTTCCAGTCAAGGTGAGTGATAAGCCAGATGTGTCCAAAATGGAAAGTCTGACAGATCAAAACTGAAGAAAACTAATACTAAAGAAAAAAAAAACAAAAAACACTCTTCCTTCAAAGAAAACTATCCAGCAGGAGAAAGAGCATGTTCAAACATCCTAAAATGCAGATTGCCTTTCAAGAGCAAGCTTCAACATCACTTGACATTCTTGCTTTTAGGCTTATTTCTGTAAAGCTATGTATTTGTGGAGATTTGAGGCACCTATAGATGGTTTTTCTCCTATATTCCCTGGCTAAGAGGTCATGAGTAGCCCATGTTCCCTTAATTTTTTCTTTTTTCGTAGGTCATGGGGCTTGAACTCTGGGCCTGGGCACTGTCCCTCAGCTCTTCAGCTCAAGGCTAGCACTCTACCACTTGAGCCACAGCGCCACTTCTAGTTTTCTGAGTGGTTTACTGGAGATAAGAGTCTCACAGACTTTCCTGCCTGGACTGGCTATTCAGTAGCTGAGTAGCTAGCTATTACAGGCATGAGCCACTGATGGCCCGCTTAAATTTGTTTTTAAAGTGAAGTTTCAGATGGTAGATGACATGCAGTCAGTAACCTCACTATTGATGACCTTTGTGGGTGTGGTCCTTATGCCCTCACAAAGTGAGTCAGTTTAAGCTACAATGGATACCTTCTGCTTCATAATCATATTTTGTAGCTTCTTAATTTTCATTTATGATAAAGCATTAAAAATACAAAAAATTAATTTATAAAAAATGCATAAACTTACATTGAAACAATCTACTGACATTATTTAATATAACTGTCACCAAAGCAGTCCTTTAAAAGCACAATATTCTTACCAGATGTGGTGGTACACACCAAATGACCAGGCCTCAAGGACAGCAAGTATGAGGCCACAATGAGTTACACATCAGGATCTTCTCTCAAACAAAAACAATAAAAACCATAAAACCTGTAAACAGTGATCACCACTTGTGAATGGGGTTGGCAACAACAGATCAGGGAAAAGAGGACTATTGTGACTTTTTTGTGTGTGGGCCAGACTTAGGGCTTGAACCCAGAGCCTGAGTGCTATCCCTGAGCTTCTTTTGCACCAAAGCTGGTGCTCTACCGCTTGAGCCACATCTCCACTGCTGGCTTTCGGTAGTTTATTAGAGATAAGAATCTCATGGGCTTTCCTGCCTGGCTATGAACCATGACCCTCAGATCTCAGCGTCCTGAGTAGCTAGGATTGCTTTTATTTATTTATTTTGTCAGTCGTGGAGCTTGAACTCAGGGCCTGGGCTCTATCCCTGAGCTCATTTGCTTAAGACTTGTGCTCTATCACTTTGAGCCTCAGTACCACTTTGGATTTTCTGGTGTTTGATTGGAGATAAGAGTCTCACAGACTTTCCTGCCCAGGCTGGCTTTGAACTGTGATCCCAGATCTCAGCCTCCTGAGTAGCGAGGATTACAGACATGAGCACCAGTGCTTGTATTTGCTTTTGTGTGTATGTGTGTGTGTCTGTCGTGGGGGCTGAATTCTGGGCCTGGGCACTGTCCCTCAGCTCTTCAGCTCAAGGCAAGCACTCTACCACTTGAGCCACAGCATCACTTCTGGCTTTTTTCTGCTTATATGGTATTGAGGAATTGAACCCAGGGCCTCATGCATGCAAGGCAAACACTTTACCACTGAGCCAACGTCCCAGCCATGTATTTGCTTTTTTTAACTTTACTTTTGTACTGCTTAAATATTTAAACAAGTACTTTTTAATGAAATATGAACCTAGGATATGATCATAAAACCAGAAATCTTTACATTTGCTTTATTCTACCTGCTTTTATTTCCCACTTCATATTTCCTAGGAGGAGACAGAAACATCTTATATTTCCTAGCATTCTATCTCCCACATAGCTGCTACAGCAGATGCTATACATCTACAGATGTAGAAGTAGATGTGAGGGGCACAGGAGGATTCTACAAGCCTTGAAATTAGACTTAGAAAATGAGCACTTCCAAGACTGTGCATGGCTCAAAGTATACAGTGCCTGCCTAGAAAGCTCAAGGCCCCAAGTTCAAATCCCAATACCACTTCAGAAAAGAAAAGAAAAAAAAGACAATAAAAAAGTACTTTCCAAGTGGATGTGGTGGCTCACGCCTGTAGTCTCAGCATTCTGGAGGCTGAGGTAGAAGGATTTCAAGCTTGAGGCCAACTTGGGCTACATAGGGAGACCCTGTATCAAAAACAAAAATATGAGGAATAGAAGCATGGCTCAAGTAGCAGAGCACAAGGCCTGGAATTTAAACCCCAGTAACTGATCAAAAAACTAGCAAGAACAACAAAAAAAGATCCCCAGCACTGGAAAAACAAAAACAAAAAACACAAAAAAAGAGCTTTGATTTGTAGAGTACACTTCAGAATTTTAAAATCTATTGCCTTCTCTCCTTTTGAACTGCTAGTTAATATCTATTCACAACTGTAAGCACTCTGCTCCTTAAACATTTAGACCCCTACTTGAAGGAGATTCAAGCAGGAATGAGAAATTACAAAATCTTCATCTTGAATTGCAAAATACAATACTGTGTAAAGAGGCCATGGGTTTAAATGAGGTCAGGGAAAGCTAATGCATGAATGCCGTTGTTGACAAACCTGTCCCAAATTTGCTGAAGGGGTGTTTGGGATTTCCTGTAGCTTTTTCCAGCTGAAAGAGTCTCCAGGCATCATTCATCACATTCTTCTCATGCTCTGAGTCGACAGCATTCACCTCCCTGTCCTTACAACTCGCATCAAACAAGGGGCACAGGAAAAACTGTGCAAACCTAAAGGTGCAAAACATAATTAACAACTTGTTTAATAAGAGGCTGGTTTTTCAAATACTTCTGAAACAGATTGGAAATATGAATTCTAAGTATCAAAAAAAATAACATTGCTACTAAGAAAAGAAGACAAATGCTAAGTAACCTAAGAATAATATAATAATGAATGTTCATAAATTTGGAGGAACTGATCTATTCCAGAGGTGCTAAATTATTGGCAGAAATATACAGATTAATATCAAAAAGTCAAGGAGGCTGGGGGCTGGTGGCTCACACCTGTAATCCTGGCTAACTCAGGAGGCTGAGATCTGAGGACTGGCGTTCAAAACCAGCCCGGGCAGGAAAGTTTACGAGACTCTTATCTCCAATGAGCCACCAGAAAACTGGAAGTGGCACTGTGGCTCAAGTGGTAGAATGCTAGCCCTGAGCTGAAAAGCTGAGGGACAGTACCCAGGCCCAGAGTTCAAGCCGACAAAAAAAAAAAAAAAAGTCAAGGAGACTATGGAGTTAGCAGCAGTCTGTTTGAAACTTGATACGTCTAAGAAAAACCTTGTTCTATGTATCTAACTCCCTAAACAAAAAAGGGGGAGGGGAAGGAATGGGGAAAGGGAACGTAGGTGACAGTTCTTTAATAAATCTCAAATTTACAGTTTTAGGTGCAATTTCACTAAGACTCTGGTGCCTTAGGAAAAACAAATTAAGACATCTACTTTTCTTTTGGGGGGTGGTCTGGTCGTGGGGCCTGAATTCTGGGCCTGGGCACTGTCCCTCAGCTCTTCAGCTCAAGGCTAGCGCTCTACCACTTGAGCCACAGTGCCACTTCTGGCTTTTTTCTTTTTGCTTATCTGGTGCTGAGGAATGGAACCCAGGGCCTCATGCATGCAAGGCAAGCGCTCTACCACTGAGCCACCTTCCCAGCCCCAAGACATCTACTTTTAATAGTCACAATATGAATTATTTTCCTTCTGGAGGAAAAACAGGCTTCAATTATTGGAAAATAATAATGAAGTAAAAAAATCTAAGGTATGATGCAGTACAATGACTAAACCATGATTACAAGCTTTATGAAATAGTAAGTGAACAGCCTATGGATAAGCAGTCATTCAACAAATAACATGGTATGTAACTCTAATATGAGTAACACAAAGCTCTTTGTCAAGGCTAATCTTTAGTAATAGTACTAAGTTTCACTGAAGTAATTCAATAATTTGAATTTTCTCTCTGTAGCTGTAAGTCATATCACGTAGTAATCTTCCTCCTTTCCCCTCCATACTTCAGTATTGGGAACGGACTCGCAAGCCACACCACTTGTTTGTATTTGGTTTTGAGGTAAGGTCTCCCTAACTTTATCTGGGCTGGCCTTGAACGCTGGATCCTCCTCTGCCTCCATCTTCCAAGTAGCTTTTATTAAAGGCTTACAGGAGTTCATGGGCCACCATGTCTGCTTTAAGATTGTATTTTATAAGAAGACCCAGAATTCAGATGAAGCTAAGGATAGAGATTCTAAACAGAACTACAATTCAGTGGACCTAAGAGAATATCATTTCAGATATACCTCAGTCCTGCTGTCAAAGAGGCTATGGTCATTATTTGATATTTATTTTGTGTGTACATGAATATATTAAGTACTTTACACAAACCAATTCCAAAAGAAAACTCCATCTCTCTGGAGTCTATAATCAAAGATTATAGATTTACAGACATATAACTTCTTTTATGTACCTCAATACATTGAGGTTGGGCAAAGTACCTATCAGCTACCTGTCCAAAGCTGGACAGATCTAGATGAAGCATCTGTTTATGACATAGAATAAGCAAGTTCTTTTTTAAAAAAGATACTCTTGCTGGACACAAGTAGCTCATGCCTGTAATCCTAGCTACTCAAGAGGCTGAGATCTGAGAAATGTGGTTCAAAGCCAGCCCAAACAAGGAAACCTGTGGCCCACTTATCTCCAATTAACCACCAAAAACGCCAGAAGCAGAGCTGTGGTTCAAGTGGTAGACTGCTAGCTTTGAGTAAAAAAAGGCTCAGCGAAAGCACCTACATTGTGAGTTCATGCTCCAGGATAGGCAAAAAAAGATTGAAACAATAAGAAGCACAGTACTCTGACTCAATCATATACTCTAAACACATACTTTTTCCCTATTAATGTTCTTTGTGCTAAGGAACAATATTCATTTCTCATAAGGACAGGTAAACAGGAATAAAAAAATAAAGTTGACAATAACTAAAACTACAAAGTCAGAATTCATTACAGACCTATCAAGGAGCGGCAGAACTCTTTTTCTACAATATAAAAAACTAAAAATTTACTATGGAAAAACTGCATTTTGAACAATGAACTAAATCACTGACATAACAAAAAAAGTAGAAGTTGTTGACTGTATAGAAGAAAACTAAGAAATTAAATTGCCCTAACAGAGCTTGCTCCAGAAAAGCCTTTCAAATATTCCCCAAACTGAAAGAGCAAGTAAACACAGTCTGTATCTACTAAGGACCCTTGAGAAGTAAGAACTCAAGAGAACAGAATAGGTGAGGGCTGCGGCTCTAGAACTGAAGCGTGTGTGAGAAGAGATCTGCAACACAGTCACCGGTTCTTTGTCATGTGCCTTACATGCAAAACCAGTTAGAATAGGAAGAGCTAGAAAATTTTACAAGTCAATAAAATATTTTGTAGGCCTGAAGGCTGGATTAAAGCCATGTCATTATCTTTCTTTTACCACAATGTAAACATGGGCCACCACTCATTATTATTTTCCTTTTCATAAAACATGGGGGAGGGAGTGGAGACTGGTGAAAGTATCTTCAAACTAGAAAGTTATAATACAATATTTGTAAAAAGTAATTATTACTATTTTTATTAATGCAATTAAGTACACAGGTTGGAGAATTCAAAGGGAACATGGTATTACCTGTCTAGGGCACCTTCTAGGTGTTCATGAGAAACATCAAAATAATAGTTGGTATGTTCTCCACTTGTAAAGGCATTGGAACTTCCCGCATGCTCACTGAGAAACTGGCTGTATTCGTTCTCTTTAGGATATTTCTTTGTTCCCAAAAATAGCATATGCTCACAAAAATGACTTAAGCCAGGAATATTTGAAGGATCTGACAATGAACCTGAAAGAAAAAAAAATCATATATAAGCAATTTTTTTTTGTCAAAAAATAGTGACTAAGGATGAACTACAGAATGGCTTGGAATTCTTGTTAGTATGGCATAACCAGTTCAATCATACAACTGGAGAAAGTATCTGCATGTCTAAAATAGTATTTATAAGGCAAACCAGGAGTCAGAAGTCCTAGATTCTGGCCCTAAGCTTGAGACTTTATTTAGTTTGAGACACTGGGTGGATTCTTTAACCTTTAGGGTCATTAGTTTCCTCACACTGGTGGGAAAGAAAGTTGAGTTCACTGCTTTCTAAAGGCTACAATTTTCTTCTTGTCTTGGTTATTGTAGGAGACAGCACAGAACACTAAGAGCATGGATTCGGATTAGCAGCTGCAGAACTGTAGAGCTCTAAGTGTAATGTTTGATCTATCTTGTCTTAGTCACCTCTACATACACCTATCTTAGAGGGTCAGGTCAGTACATGAGATCTATATTCTATAACACACAGAAGATGCTGTCATTCATTCAATGTTACCTTTATTTTCTCAAGTCTAAAATGCCATAAGTAAAAACTTTTATTTAAAAATAATATTACGGAAGTGGCGCTGTGGCTCAAGTGGTAGAGTGCTAGCCTTGAGCTGAAGAGCTGAGGGCCAGTGCCCAGGCCCAGAGTTCAGGCCCCATGACCTGACCCCCCCCAAAAAAATTATCTATAAAATGTCACAATAACCAAAACTGAATAAAGTGAACAGATAGGGCAGACAGGGATAGGGAGCTATTTCTCTGAACATTCTTTGGCTATCCCTAAAATTTAAGTAATTATTATGATTCACTTAAGGATAAGGATGAATTTCCTTGCTGCTAGGTCACCTCATGTGAGAACCTCACAAGATGCTCTTACTAAATATCAGATTATTTTCACTTAGACAATTGTAGTTTACGAGTTTTATATGGGTTCCAACATAAAGGTAATAAAATGAATAAAGCACATCAAAGTCATATTTATGGAGGATCATAATAAATGTTAGCATTAGATGGTAAAACTGAACACACTTAAACTGACAATTTTAAATGGTACCTATGTGTACATCAAGTGCAGCTGATGACTTGTCCGTGGTAGGATCACTGATGAGAAGTACTTTGATGCCATTGGCCAGCTCTAGTCCTCGATACTCTCGCTTATCTTCGGGAGATTTGACAATGTGATTTCCTATTCTCTTGATAGCTGGGTTATTCATTTTGCTGTAAGTTCTACTTTGGAAACTGAAAAGAAATTAATTAATTGTTGCATTGTGACTATTTTTCCTCTGCCCCGCCCCAGTACAGGAGTTTGAATTCAAAGCCTTACACTTACTCAGCAGGCACTCTACTACTTGAGCCACAATTCCAGCCTAGCTCTTTGCTGGTTATTCTTGGGGATAGAGTCTCAAGGACGTTTCTACCTGGCTGGCTTTAAACTTCAATCTTCTGGGTCTTAGCCTACTGAGTAGCTAGAATTATAGGCATGAGCAAAAGGCACCCAATTTTTTTTTATTTTAAAGGACAAGAAATAATATCAAGCAAATCAACATAGTTAAATCAACTAATAAACAAAATATACCTGGCAGGCATGGTTTCACAGACCTATAATCTTAGCACTTGAGAGGCTGAGGCAGGAGGCTCTCTAGTTTGAGGTGAACAGGGGCTACATAGTGAGGCCAGCCAGGACTAAAACTGAGACCTTACTTCAAAAACAAACAAAAAACCTGGAAGAAACATTTGTTGCTACTGCTTCTGAGGACCAAATCCCAGGCTTGTACATACTAAACAGGTGCTCTGCCGCTGAGCTATAACTCCAGCCACACAGGAAACTTTTATTGCTTACTATAGGCTATTGTCACCCATCTCCTTCATCTTGCCCTTATTCTTTCAGAAAAATGCTAAGTATTGTTTTTGTGAAATCATATTTGTATATAGAACACATGGATGAGGATTTGACATAGGATGGGTTGGGCCATGAGTTGGCCAGTATGCTGATCTCAAATAGTTTTTAATTATAAAGAACTACTTTCAGGTAGGGTGAAAAACAAAGGAGGAGGTAACAATGCTCGATAGGAAATGTACTCATTACCTTACTCCTGTAACTGTAACCTCTCTGTAGACTATTTTTACAATAAAAAACACACAAAAGAACTATTTTCATACACATTTCAGAGGTATCTGCAAGATTAAGTATGGTGAGATGTTGGGTAAAAATTATTACTGAGTCAGCTAAAACACTGCTCAACCTGATATTCAGGCAAGGCAAATCAAGAACTCCTGGGTCAAGCCTCATATACCTGTAATTCTAGCTACCCAGGAAGCTGAGATCTAGGGATCTCAATTCAAAGCCAGCCCAGGCAGGAAAGCTCCCATGAGACCCTTATCTCCAACTAACCACTCAAAAACCAGAAGTAGAGATGTGACTCAAATTGACAGAGTGCTAGCCCTGAGCAAAAGAACTCAAGGACATGCCCAGACCAAGTTCAAGCCCCACGACCAACCAAAAAAAGAAGAAGAAAGACTTGTAAGAAGGGAACAAAGAATCTTAGCTAACACATCTGTTTTTAACTTATTTCCCAAATGACATATCTGTTTAGAATGCAGCTAATACCTTCAGTATGTTGTTTCAAAAACGTTGAGTTTAATTATTTAAAAAGTGAGGTCCAGGGTGACACTGTCCCAAAAGAAATGTACTCTTTATCTGACTTATGTAACTATAACCCCTTGATATATCACCTATATAATAACAATACATTTTTTTTATGTGAGCTCCAAACTAGGCGTGGTGATGCATACCTACCATACCAGCACTCAGGAGGCTGAACCTGGAAGATTATCAGTTTCAGACCAGTGTGGGCTACATAGAAGACCTTGTTAAAAACTCAAAAAAAGTGAGTTCTGCCAGGCACAGATGGCTGTAATCCTAACTATTCAGGAGGCTGAGATTTGAGAATTGCAGTTCAAAGCCAGCCTGGGCAGGAAAATCTGTGAAACTTATTTCCAATTAGCCACCAAACAGCTGGACATAGAGTGGTGTCTCCAGTGATAGAGTGCTAGCCTTGAGCAAAAAAAGCTAAGAGACAGTGCTCAGGCCCTGATTCAAGTTCCAGAACCAGCACACACATACAAAAGAAGTAAGTTCTAACTTAGCAGGAATATAAGCTACAAGACAGTCTTTGTGAAGAACTCCCACACAACAGTAAAAAAGGCAGCAATGGAGCAAGAAGAAGCTCCATCTGTATGTAGCCCAGAAAATGCCTAAACATGCCCTCAGCTAGGATGTACTAGAGGGAGAAAATGGGTGAGGTTTCTACTGAGGGGTTTCACCAGAAAGGAACAAAAGCCAAACATTATTTGCTCCATCACCATCATTGACCCACAACTCCCTCGATTGTTCTACCCTGCTAGTCTAACTTAGGGGCAACCAAAGGGTTACAAATCGTTAAAATATAGTAGAATGGTGATGACAACAACTATGACAATGATGATGATAGTGAAGATGATGCTCTAAAACTTGCATCTAATCCAGAATCGTTGAGAAGATACAATATAGCTCACTGTAGCAGTAAAACCGTCTTAGATTATTAGAGGTTTAAAAAATCATGATAGCCAGGCAGTGGTAGCTCAAGCCTGTAATCCTGGCTACTCAGGAGGCTGAGATCTGAAGATCCTACCTAGTCCAAAGCCAGACCAGGCAGAAAAGTCTGTGAGACTCTTATGTCCAATTAACTGTCAAAAAGCTGTAAATGGTGCTATGCCTCAAAGTAGAATACTATTCTGGAGCACAAAAGCACAGGGACAGCAACTAAGCCCTGAGTTCAAGACCCAGGACCACCACCAACCCCCAATTAAAAAAAAATCATTGTATAAGGATAGCCACCTCAATTTATAAGCTATATTCTGCCTCTTTTCAAGGATTAGATTTCACTTGTCTACCCTTCAATTTTCTCATACAATTAAAACACACACACACACATACAAAAAAATTTAAATGGTAAAATAGAGAGAGAGTAGGATGCAGGTAGACAGAAAGCACAAGATTGAGAGCTCCTGGTCCAGTAAGAACCATTTATAAATGCCCAGAGGCTAACTAGTGATGGCTTTAACTTATTTGGACACTGAAACTGTGTCTGATCAATATTCCTGGTATGACTGAGAAAGAAGAGGTATGTGCGTTCTGGAAGCCACACGCAAAAATAAGTGAAAGTACTTTTAAACCTTTGTAGTCAGGATTAAGAAGAACTAGCTAAATTTTATATTGTAACAATGCTCCCAGTCAAATATCCTAACAAAAGAAACAGTAAAACAGGTAAAAGAAACAGTAAAAACGTTTTCAAACAAGACCCATTCCCAGTCATCTTCATTCAGTAGGTGGTCTGGCTTTACCTGGAGCCTATGTAGCACCACTTTCTACACAGATTTGGTCCTTACCTCCTGGTGAACTGATGGCAAGGGCTGGGAACTCCTCTAATGAGGAACTTACCTGTCTGTGCACTTATATATGCACACTCAGGAGATCACATGACTGCCTGTTTCTCAATAGCATAAGGCTTCAAGACTAAAGCCGGGAGCTAGTGGCTCACACCTGTAATCCTAGCTACTCAGGAGGCTGAGAGCTGAGGATCATGGTTCAAAGCCAGCCTGGGCGGGAAAGTCCGTGAGTCTCTTATCTCCTATAAACCACTCGAAAACTGGGAAGTGGCATTGTGGCTCAAGCAAATGTTCTCCAATAAGCAAACATTCTGACATTTTAGCTGACAAGTGCTAACTCAAATGCATTCTCAGATATTTATTCGATATTTTTAACTTGTCAAAGACAAAATTTTAGAAGCAATAGTTTCTTTCAATTTTTAGAGATGTTATCATACATTGGAAACTTCCTAAAATACAGAACTGTCAGTTTTCAGCATTATGATAACTGAAGAGATGTTTAGTTATTACAACATATTTTGATACTGTCCAGAATTTGAGACAATGGCTATTCTCACAGGAAATAAAAGCTGGAAGAGTCATTTTATGCTATGCAGTCCTTTGAAGTTCAAGGGCTAGAGTCAGATTCTACACTGTAACAAAATCTCTAGGTGGGCTAATCTCAATTTACCTATAAGAAACAAGCTCAGGGGTTGGGGATTTACCTCAGTGGAAGAGTGCTTGCCTGGCCAGTGCAAGGCCCTGAGTTCAGTCCTCAGCTCTGGAGGAAAAAAAAGCTATAAAAGAAACAAGCTCAGGGATGGGAAGGTGGCTCAGTGGCAGAGTGCTTGCCTGGCATGCATGAGACCTTGGGTTCGATTCCTCAGCACCACATAGGCAGAAAAAGCCAGAAGTGGCGATATGGCTCAAGTGGTAGGTGCCATGACTGGCCAAAACCAACAACAACAACAAACCAACAACAACAAAAAAGAAACAAGCTCAGAGCTGGACACTGGTGGGTTGTTCACACCAGTAAATCTAGCTACTCAGGAGGCTGAGGTTTGAGGATTGTGGTCTAAAGCCAGCCCAGGCAAAGTAGTCTGTGGGACTCTTACCTCCAATTAACCACAAGAAAACCAGAAGTGGCACTGTGGCTTAAGTGGTAGAGCATTAGCCTTGAGCAAAAGAGCTCAGGGGCAACACCAAGGCCCTGAGTTCAAGCCCCATAACTGGAAAAAAAAAAAAAAAAGCTTAGGTCATTTGTCCCAAACCATTCCATCACAAATTACAATTACAACTACAACTCTTATGCTCATTCTCACCCCCCCCCCACCATAGCCACACAAAAAACTGAAGTAGCACTAATATACAAAGATAAGTGTCCTAGAGCCCTAACCCTAAAGGAACCAGACGAGTAAAAAGAACTTATCATGTAAACTGGCAATAAAGCTGTCCAGTGGGCACTAAGGGTTTAATGAAAGGGGTGATAAGAAGCATACTAAATACAAGACAAGGGACAAAGTAGAAAGGAATGCCTGAACAAGGCCTGCTAAGAAAGAAAAAAAAAAAAAACAGAGGAGCTTATTATCAGCGGAACAACAACCAGAATCTCCACTGATAACTCAAGCACTAGGCTTAGGGCTATAGCTCAGAGGCAGAGCTCATTCTGTGCATGTGTGAGCCTCCATCCCTAGCACCACATGCACTCACACATACACATTCACAGACTAAGATATATAGAGGCTTAAATGTCAAATTGACAACAAATTCCCAAATAAAAGGTCATTTCCAAATTCCCATGCAAATCTGATGATGCAAATGGCCTTTTATTC